GTCACTGGGGTGTGGCCCTGAGGACCATCGCGAGCCACCCCGAGAAACCAATCGTCCCAGAGGGCGGTCAACTCCGGTCAACTCCGAGATGGTCATACCCCCGCAATGGGAGCATGAGTCATCCACGAAAGCCCCCTCAGCGTGCTTCGTGCCCAGACACGAGAGGCAGCGATCGTGACCATCACCCGGCGCCAGGTAACAACCGCACCCAGAAACACACGGATGGTACGACATCTTTAAAAAGACGCGTCTTTAAAAAGACGTTCCACCCGTGAAGCTCTTTTAGATAGAAAATGCTCTTTTAGTGTGCTGAAGCGCACAGGGGAGATGGCCGTCTGCAACACACACAGGGGTAGTGCAGCCTGTTGTGTGCAACCCACTCGACACGGGAAAACCACCGCCGCTGAAGCGCCGTACCACCAGCACAAGAGCCCACGAAGAGCGTGCTTGACTGTAGTTTTCACTACCGTAGACTTAGGTCAGGAGCAGAACGATAGAACTGCTCGGCTCCGAAGCGAAAAGCTGAATATGCGCTGCATCTGCTGCCTACTTATACTCACGCTGTGATCAGCAGCAGCTGGATGCAATAATCGCATGCCAATGTGCATTGGCTCGTTTAGTTTACACTCAAAGTAGATTGGTCTCTCTAAGCGAGATCCCAATTCGTCGGTCATCCGACGTGACGTCGAGAGTGACCGACTGAAAGGGAACTGTAAATGACTTTGTGCTGAGTAAAAGTTTCATATAAGGTTTGTGGGCTCTGAAAAATCTCTGAACAAGTTTAAATATGCAAAGTATTTCAACCAATCCTAATTATTTAGATAAAGTCTTTTTAATGTTTCATTCTCAATAGCAAAGCAAGATTCTTATCCTCATAATTCCACCCATATGTGAGGGGGCTACAATCAAAGCTCGAAGAGTAACATTACAGTCTTCTCCCCCAACTCTGATCCATGTCCAGCTTAAATAACATCATATTCCTTCCAAACAAACTTTTTCTGGGAATGCTCATATCATTCCCACTCAGTTCATTTCCATTGTCATCGAAGGGAGAGACTTCCAAAGGTTCAAGGACAAGATAAACAATGTGTCAGAAACCATTATGGTTACAGGCGGCACTCTAAAATGGTTGCTATGACAGAGTGCATGTTTGAAAACTAAATACAGATTGTGAGGATTGTTACTGATTGAAAACATTTGTTGTTGCGCTACCATATTCAGCCTGCAACAAGTCATGCAAGTCTTTAGGGACTGTGCAGTTAATTACACTCAGTAACAATAAGAATGCTATAATAACAGACTGCAAATCACAGATCTGCACACTGTAACCGATTTTTGTAATTTGAACAGTATTTTACTGTAATATATACAGTAAGATACTGTAAAATGTGTATACAGTATTTTACTGTGAACAGCAAAGGATTATTGGAAAATATACGGTCACTACTGTATTTCCTCACTACTGTAAATCAATTTACAGTAGTGAACTTGCCCGCGAAAAACTGACCAATGGCAAGGGAGTTATTTTTTGACTGTTTGGTGGAAGTGGCCGTAAAAGGACAAAAGAGAAATGCACTGTTAACTCGACAAAAGGTTAGTATATTATTTCTGTTTTATGCAAAAATGCGATATTTTAAGATGTTTTCACTTGTTAACAGCAAACTAACATTATTCATCGTGTCATTTTTCATGTCGGGAGGTGGAGCCTTTTTTTCTGACTGACGGCCGGAATGCCGCCAAAAGGC